AGGGATCAATCCAAGAAGAAGATATAACAACTGTAAACATTTATGCACCCAACATAGGAGCACCTCAATACATAAGGCAAATGCTAACAGCCATAAAAGGGGAAAGCGACAGTAACACAATCACAGTAGGGGACTTTAACACCCCACTATCACCAACAGACAGATCATCCAAAATGAAAATAAATAAGGAAACAGAAGCTTTAAATGATACATTAAACAAGACGGACTTAATTGATATTTATAGGACATTCCATCCAATAACAACAGAATACACTTTCTTCTCAAGTGCTCATGGAACCTTCTCCAGGACAGATCATATCCTGGGTCACAAATCAAGCCTTGATAAATTTAAGAAAACTGAAATCGTATCAAGTATCTTTTCCGATGACAACACTGAGACGAGATATCAATTACAGGAAAAAATCTGTAAAAAATACAAACACATGGAGGCTAAACAATACACTACTTAATAACCAAGAGATCACTGAGGAAATCAGAAAATACCTAGAAACAAATGACAATGAAAACACGATGACCCAAAACCTATGGGATGCAGCAAAAGCAGTTCTAAGAGGGCAGTTTATAGCAATACAATCTTACTTTAAGAAACAAGAAACATCTCAAATAAACACCTAAAGCAATTAGAGAAAGAAGAACAAAGAAACCCCAAAGTTAGCAGAAGGAAAAAAATCATAAAGATCAGATCAGAAATAAATGAAAAAGAAATGAAGGAAACAATAGCAAAGATCAGTAAAACTAAAAGCTGGTTCTTTGAGAAGATAAACAAAATTGATAAACCATTAGCCAGACTCATCAAGAAAAAAAGGGAGAGGACTCAAATCAATAGAAATAGAAATGAAAAAGGAGAAGTAACAACTGACACTGCAGAAATACGAAGGGTCACGAGAGATTAGTACAAGCAACTCTATGCCAATAAAATGGACAACCTGGAAGAAATGGACAAATTCTTAGAAATACACAACCTTCCAAGACTAAACCAGGAAGAAATACAAAATATAAACAGACCAACTCCAAGCAATGAAATTGAAACTGTGATTAAAAACCTTCCAACAAACAAAAGCCCAGGACCAGATGGATTACAGGCGAATTCTATCAAACATTTAGAGAAGAGCTAACACCTGTCCTTCTCAAACTCTTCCAAAATGTAGCAGAGGGAGGAACACTCCCAAATTCATTCTACGAGGCCACCATCACCTTGATACCAAAACCAGACAAGGATGTCACAGAGAAAGAAAACTACAGGCCAATATCACTGATGAACAAAGATGCAAAAATCCTCAACAAAATACCAGTAAACAGAATCCAACAGCACATTAAAAGGATTATACACCATGATCAAGGGGGGTTTATCCCAGGAATGCAAGGATTCTTCAATATTCACAAATCAATCAGCGTGGTACACCATATTAATAAATTGAAGGATAAAAACCATACGATCATCTCAACAGATGCAGAAAAGGCTTTTGACAAAATTCAACACCCACTTATGATAAAAACCCTCCAAAAAGTAGGCATAGAGGGAACTTATCTCAACATAATAAAGGCCATATATAACAAACCCACAGCCAACATTGTTCTCAATGGTGAAAAACTGAAACCATTTCCACTAAGATCAGGAACAAGACAAGGTTGCCCACTCTCACCACTATTATTCAACATTGTTTTGGAAGTTTCAGCCACAGCAATCAGAGAAGAAAAAGAAATAAAAGGAATCCAAATCGGAAAAGAAGAAGTAAAGCTGTCACTGTTTGCAGATGACACGATGCTATACATAGAGAATCCTAAAGACTCTACCAGAAAACTGCTAGAGCTAATCAATGAATTTGGTAAAGTAGCAGGATACAAAATTAATGCACAGAACTCTCTTGCATTCCTATACACTAATTTGGAAAAATCTGAAAGAGAAATTAAGGAAACACTCCCATTTACCACTGCAACAAAGAGAATAAAATACCTAGGAATAAACGTACCTAAGGAGACAAAAGACCTGTATGCAGAAAACTATAGGACCCTGATGAAAGAAATTGAAGATGATACAAACAGATGGAGAGATATACCATGTTCTTGGATTGGAAGAATCAACATTGTGAAAATGACTCTACTACCCAAAGCAATCTACAGATTCAGTGCAATCCCTATCAAACTACCACTAGCATTTTTCACAGAACTAGAACCAAAAATTTCACAATTTGTATGGAAACACAAAAGACCCCGAATAGCCAAAGCAATCTTGAGAAAGAAAAATGGACCTGGAGGAACCAGGCTCCCTGACTCCAGACTATACTACAAAGCTACAGTAATCAAGACAATCCAGTACTGGCACAAAAAGAGAAATATACATCAAAAGAAAGCCCAGAGATCAACCCACATACATGTGGTCACCTTATTTTTGATAAAGAAGGCAAGAACATACAATGGAGAAAAGACAGTCTTTAAGTGGTGCTGGGAAAACTGGACAGCTACATGTAAAAGAATGAAATTAGAACACTCCCTAACACCATACGCAAAAATAAGCTCAAAATGGATTAAAGACCTAAATGTAAGGCCAGACATTATCAAACTCTTAGAGGAAAACATAGGCAGAACACTCTATGACATAAATCACAGCAAGATGCTTTTTGACCCACCTGTTAGAGAAATGGAAGTAAAAACAAAAATAAACAAACGGGACCTAATGAAACTTAAAAGCTTTTTCACAGCAAAGGAAACCATAAACAAGATGAAAAGACAACCCTCAGAATGAGAGAAAATATTTGCAAATGAAGCAACTGACAAAGGATTAACCTCCAAAATTTACAAGCAGCTCAGGCAGCTCAATATCAAAAAAACAACCCAATCCAAAAATGGGCAGAAGACCTAAATAGACATTTCTCCAAAGAAGATATACAGATTGCTAACAAACAAATGAAAGAATGCTCAACATCATTAATCATTAGAGAAATGCAAATCAAAACTACAAATGAGGTATCACCTCACACCAGTCAGAATGGCCATCAGCAAAAAATCTACAAACAATAAATGCTGGAGAGGGTGTGGAGACAAGGGAACCCTCTTGCACTGTTGGTGGGAATGTAAATTGATACAGCCACTATGGAGGTTCCTTGGAAAACTAAAAAGAGAATTACCATATGACCCAGCAATCCCAGTACTGGGCATATACCCTGAGAAAACCATAATTCAAAAAGAGACATGTACCACAGTGTTCACTGCAGCACTATTTACAATCACCAGGAGATGGAAGCAACCTAAGTGTCCATCAACAGAGGAATGGATAAAGAAGATGTGGCACATATATACAATGGAATATTACTCAGCCATAAAAATAAACGAAATTGAGTTACCTGTAGTGAGGTGGATGGACCTAGAGTCTGTCATACAGAGTGAAGTAAGTCAGAAAGAGGAAAACAAATACTGTATGCTAACACATATATATCGAACCTAAAAAAAAAGAAAAGTTATGAAGAACCTAGGGGCAGGACAGGAATAAAGATGCAGACATAGAGAATGGACTTGAGGACATGGGGAGGGGGAAGGGTAAGCTGGGACGAAGTGACACAGTGGGACGAAGTGAGAGAGTGGCACGGACTTATATACACTACCAAATGTAAAACAGATAGCTAGTGGGAAGCAATCGCATAGCACAGGGAGATCAGCTCGGTTGGTGCTTTGTGACCACCTAGAGGGGTGGGATAGGGAGGTTGGGAGGGAGACGCAAGGGGGAGGAGATATGGGGATATATGTATATGTATAGCTGATTCACTCTGTTATACAGCAGAAACTAACACACCATTGTAAAGCAATTAAACTCCAATAACGATGTTAAAAAATAAAAAAGAATTAAAAGAAAAAAGAATTATATCCCCTTTTCTCAACTAATGAAAATATTTTTTGTTCGTGAAAAACACCTGAAACCTTAACTGAGCCAGGTCGACACCAGGATGCCTCAGCTCGGGTAGGGAACAGTGAACACAGCAACGTTCACTCCCGTTAACGTACCGAGCGCCACTCTCTCCACATATATGTGCAAGGACTTATTTTCACGAGCCAGTATCATAAAAAATGTGTGCCAGTGGAGTCACACTGAAAAAAGTGTGAGTGCTGCCACCACAACGAGTTGATGAGTATGTTATTTTTTAAAGGAGCAGGGAACAGAGGAGCATGTGAAACGAGGCATCAGCAAGAAAGCCATCCACCCACCTTGTCTGACACGGCGCGAGGTCAGAGGAAAAGCACCACTTGTGGGGCCTGCACCAGGCATCAGAGCAGTCTGGATGTCTTACCCAGAACCTTAGTGTTTTACGACAGTGGCAGGAACTAACCTGTTCATCGAGTGTCTTCTTTTTCTGGACTGAACTAATAAGGACATTCAGTCCTTATCAGTATCAGTATCAGTATAGATGATGGGCTTAAAACCCCCGGGAAACATGCCACCAGGCTGGGCACATAAGCACTGTGGCGACACAACCAGGCACAGGAGACCTGGATGTCCCCTCAGGTGCCTCTGCAGGATGCAGGCTGCCGCATGTTCCCTATCGGGCGGATTTTAAAGTTATTTTAGCCTTGTGGTTCTCAAAGTGGGGTTCCCTGGCCAGCAGCATCACCTGGGGCCTGAAGAAATGCAGATTCTCAGCCCGATCCCAGGCCAATGGAGTCACAAATCAGAGTCTGAACAAGCCTTTCAGAGGACTGTCAACAGGCTGAAGTTTGAGAGCCCATCTTAGATAGGACTGGCCACATTACTTGCAGGCCTTGGTGCAAAATAAAACTGTGGGAACCTCTGTTTAGTAATTATGAAGAATCCCACGACAGTGACAACAGAGCATTAAACCAAGCTCAGGGCCCTCCTCTGCAGCTGCCCAGGCCGTTGGCCCTGGTTTAAGGGATGGGCAGCATTTTCCACGTGTATTCAGAATGGTTCTTCACATAAGGAGCCCACTCCTTACGGCTCCAGGAGACGTGGTCCTCCTGTTTGTACTGACCTTGTACTCTCATGGAAGCCACCAAAAAGGATTAACTGTCTCTTCCAGGCCACCATCCGATGTCCACTCCGTCCTGAAGGACCGCCTGGCGATCTAAAATTGAATAAAAAAAAAAAGAGCTTGGCAGATGGCGGAAGAGTAGGACGTGGAGCTCACCTCCTCCCACAAACACCAAAATACATGTACAAGTGGAACGACTCGCACAGAACATCTACGGAACGCTGGCACAAGACCTCAGACTTCCGAAAGCACAAGAAAACCTCCACATTACTGGGTAGAACAAAAGGAAAAGGAAAACAAAAGTGAAAGGAGTTGGGACGGGACCTACACCCCAGAGAGGGAGCTGTGAAGGAGGAAAGGTTCCTGCACCCTGGGAAGTCCACTCATCGTCAGGGAGATCAGCCTGGACAGACGGGGAGCTCTGAAGCCTCCGAGGAGAGCGTTAACAGCCAGTTTGCAGGAGGCAACACAGAGAGTGCCCTGCACAGTCAGTCCATACAGCTGCCCTGCACTCCCCAGCCTGAGACACTCATCCACAGGCGCAAGGGGCGGCTGGGTGCTGAAGCTTGGGCTTCGGAGGTCAGACCCAGGGAGAGGACCAGGGCTGGCACACGGAGACAGCCTGAAGAGGCTGGACTGTGGCAACTGAGGGTGTGCTCGGAAGAAGCCTGGGCCTGTCAGAGAGGCAAGGTGCCATTGTTGGGGGGCACGTAAGGAGAGCAGCAGGACCACCATAGAAGCTTCCTTCCTTGTGCACGTGCTCTCCGTCAACAGGACACCACCTACGCGAGCTCTGGGCTGGGCGTGAGCCGCCACTACCATCCCGGGCTCCAGAGGCGGGGATGGGCCATCGCCACTGCTAAGACACACACAAGCAGACCCGACGCGCTGCACCCCGCTGTCTCAGGAGTGCACGGGCTGCCGCAGCCACCGCAAGACCCATGAAGAGGTGCCAAGTGCTGCCTGCACTGTCTTGGGAGGGCATGGGCCACCACCACCAAGAGACCCGCCAGCAGGCGCTAGTCATTGTCTGTGCCCTCGTGGGAGCATGCGGGCCGCCACCGCCACTACGAGAACTGGGAGCAGGGACCAATAGCTGCCCCCGCTGCCCAAAAGGCTCAGGGGCCGCGGCCACTGCAGGGAGACCAACAAGAGGGCGCTCATCGCTGCCCCCGCCACACCAGGAGCGCACGGGCCACCGCACCTGCACGCCCCGTATCAGGGGGATAATGCCCAGCATACACTGAGGAAAGAGGCAGCAAGCATCCAGACTAAAAGCAGCCCCTCAAAGCCAGACAAGATGGTGGAGTAGAGGATCGAGCTCACCTCCTCTCAAGAAAACACCAAAATCACAACTAACTGCTAAACAACTATCAACAAAAAAGACTGAAGGGCTTCCCTGGTAGTGCAGTGGTTAAGAATACACCTGCCAATGCAGGGGACATGGGTGCGGGCCCTGGTCTGGTAAGATCCCACATGCCACGGAGCAACAAAGCCCATGCACCACAACCACTGAGCCTGTGTTCTAGAGCCCGCGAGCCACAACTACTGAGCCCACGTGCCACAACTACTGAAGCCCACGTGCCACGACTACTAAAGCCTGTGAGCCACAGCTACTGACGCCCGCACACCTAGAGCCCATACTCCACTACAAGAGAAGGCACCACAATGACAAGCCCGCACACTGCAACAAAGAGTAGCCCCCACTCACCCCAACTGGAGAAAGCCTGCGCGCAGCAACAACGACCCAACTCAGCCATAAGTAAACAAACAAACAAACAAATTTTTTTAAAAAAGACCGGAACCTACGAAAAAAGATATTTTACACCCAAAGACGAGGAAGCCACAGCGAGATGGTAGGAGGGGCACTTTCACAATATAATCAAATTCCATACCCGCCAGGTGGGTGACCAACAAACTGGAAAATAATTATATGGTAGAGGTCCTCCCACAAGAGAATTCTGAGCCCCACGTCAGGCTCCCCAGCCTGAGGGTCTGGCCTCAGGAGGAAGAGCCCCCAGAGCTCTTTGCTTTTGAGGCCAGCAGGGCTTGAGTACAAGAGCTCCACAGGACTGGGGGAAACAAGAGACTCCACTCCTGGAGGGCACACACAAGACTTTGTGGGCAATAGGACCCAGCATAAAGCAGTGACTCCACAGGAGCCTGGGACAGACCTACCTGCGGGTCTTGGAGGGTCTCCTGGGGAGGCAGGGATCAGCTGTGGCTCACTGCGGGGGCAAGGACACTGGTGGCAGAGGCCCCAGGGAATATGACCAACATGAGCTCTCCTGGAGTCACCATCTTGGCACCAAGACCTGGCCCCACCCAACAGCCAGCAGGCTCTAGTGCTGGGATGCCTCAGGCCAAACAACCAGCAGGGGAAACACAGCCCCACCCATCAGCAGACAGGCTGCCTCAAGTTGTACGGAGCTCACAGTCACCTCTAAGCACACCCCCTGACATGGGCCTGTCCACCAGAGGGACAAGACCCAGCTCCACCCACCAGTGGGCTGGCTCTAGTCCCTCCCACCAGGAAGCCAGCACAAGCCCAGGACCAACATCACCTACCAAGGGCAGACACCAAAAACAAGACGAACTACAATCCTGCAGCCTGCAGAAAGGAGACCACAAACACAGAAAGTTAGACAAAATGAGATGACAAAGAAATATGTGCCATGTGAAGGAACAAGATAAAAACCCAGAAGAACAACTAAGTGAAGTGGAGATAGGCAACCTACCTGAAAAAGAATTCAAAGTAATTATAGTAAAGATGACCCAAGATCTCAGAAAAAGAATGGAGGCACAGACCGAGAAGATACAAGAAATGCTTAATAAAGAGCTAGAAGATTTAAAGAACAAACAGATGAACACCACAATAACTGAAATGAAAAATACATTGAAAAGAATCGACAGCAGAATAAATGAGGCAGAAGAATGAATAAATGAGCTGGACAACAGAGTGGTGGAAATTACTGCCACAGACCAGAATAAAGAAAAAAGAATGAAAAGAAATGAGGACAGCCTCAGAGACCTTTGAGACAACATGAAACACATCAACATTCACAATATAGAACTCCTAGAAGAAGAGAGAGAGAAAGGGCCCGAGAAAATAGTTGAAGATACTATAGCCGAAAACTTCCCTAACATGGGAAAGGAAACACTCAAGTCCAGTAAGCGCAGACAGTCCCATACAGGATAAACCCAAGGAGGAACACGCCGACACATATTAATGAAACTGACAAAAATTAAAGGCATAAAGAGAAAATATTAAAAGCAACAAGGGAAAAGCTACAAGTATCATACAAGGGAATCCCCATAAGGTTTTTTCGGCAGAAACTCTGCAGGCCAGAAGTGAGTGGCATGATACACTTCAAGTAATGAAAGGGAAAAAGCTACAACCAAGAATACTCTACCCAGCAAGGTTCTCATTCAGATTCGAAAGAGAAATCGGAAGTTTTACAGACAAGCAAAAGCTAAGAGAATTCAGCACCACCAAACCAGCTTTACAACAAACGCTAAAGGAACTTCTCTGGGCAGAAAAGAAAAGGCCACAACTAGAAACAAGAAAATTATGAACGGGAAAGCTCACCAGTAAAGGCAAACACACAGAAAAGGTAGGAAAATCACCCACACACAAATATGATATCAAAACCAGCAATCGTGAGAAGAGGAAAGTACAGATGCAGGATACAGGAAATGTGTTTGAAATTAAGAGACCAGCAACTTAAAACAATCTTGTATATATTCAATATATACACTGCTTTACCAAAACCTCAGGGGAACCGCAAACCAAAAATCTACAATAGATACAACAGACACACACACACACAAAAAGCAATCCAAACACACGACTAAAGACAGTCATCAAACCACAAGAGAACAAAAGAAGAAGGGAAGAAAAAAGACCTACAAAAACAAATCCAAAACAATTAACAAAATGGCAATAAGAACATACATATCGAGAATTACCTTATATGGAAATGGTTTAAATGCTCCAAAAGACAAAGACTGCCTGAACGGATACAAAAACAAGACCCATATATACGCTGTCTACAAGAGACCCACTTCAGATCTAGGGACACATACAGTCTGAAAGTGAGGGGATGGAAAAAGGTATCCCAGGCAAATGGAAATCAAAAGAAAGCTGGAGTAGCAATACTCATATCAGACAAAACAGACTTTAAAATAAAGACTGTTACAAGAAACAAACAAGGACACTACCTAATGATCAAGGGGTAAATCCAAGAGGAAAATATAACAATTGTCAATATATATATTGAGACATGTCTCAATGTCCCAACATGTCCTATGTCCCAACATAGGAGCACCTCAACATGTAAGGCAAATGCAAACAGCCATAAAAGGAGAAATTGACAGTAACACAGTAATAGTAGGGGGCTTTAACATCCCACCTACATCAATGGACAGATCATCCAGACAGAAAATCAGTAAGAAAACACAGGCCATAAGTAACACATCAGACCATCCAAAAGCAGCAGAATACACATTATTCTCAAGTGCACATGGAACATTCTCCAGGATAGGTCACATGCTGGGCCATAAAGCAAGCCTTGGTGAATTTAAGAAAACTGAAATCATATCAAGCATCTTTTCTGACCACAACACTATGAGATTAGAAATCAATAACAGAAAGAACTTAAAAAAAAAAAACACCACCAACACGTGGAGGCTAAACAACATGTTATTAAACAACCAATGAATCACTGAATAAATCAAAGAATGAATAAATAAATAACTAGAGATAAAAGACAATGAAAACACAGGAATCCAAAACCTATAGGATGTGGCAAAAGCAGCTCTAAAAAGGAAGTTTAGAGCAATACAATCTTACCTCAGAAAACAAGAAAAATCTCAAACAACCTAACTTACACCTAAAACAACTAGAGAAAGAAGAACAAAACACAAAGTTAGTAGAAAAGAAAATCATAAAGGTCTGAGCAGAAATAAATAAAACAGAGACAAAGAAAACAATAGCAAAGATCAATGAAACTAAAAGCTGGTTCTTTGAAAAGTTAAAACTGATAAACCTTTAGCCAGACTCATCAAGAAAAAAAGGGAGAGGGGGTCAAATC